CATGATTTTGTTCTTTTTTATGGCTGCATAGTATTCCATCATGTATATGTACCACATTTTTTTTATCCAGTCCTCTTTTGATGGACAGCGTGGTTGGTTGTTTGCATGACACCCCAGTGTCCTGAGGCAAAATAGAATTTGGAGCTCTGCCTTCAGACTCATGGGGACTATCCCTGAATCTAGGGAAAGATGGACCTCAATAGGCCCGGCCCAGCAATGACTCTGGGAGCAGGAGAGAGATAGGGAGCAAACATGGGAATCACCCGGCCCCATCTTATGATCAGCCAGTTCCAGAAAGTTCCAGGAAGCTCCAGCCTTGGAATTAAGATATCCCCAAAGGGTCCTGATAGAAGAAGTATCCTGGCTTAATTACACCCCTGAGGTTTCCATAGCCTTCCTCAAAAGACAACATGTTGTACCAGAAAGCTCGTGGATCTTGGCATCAGGATGACAAGGGTGTGAATGCCAGTTCTACCACCTACTTACTGACTGACCTTGGACAAGCTATTTAGCTTCTCTGAGCCTCGATGTCCATGTCTGTCACACAGGTACAATAAAGCAAACTACACAGGGTGCCGTGCTGATCCACTGAGATCATCCACTTTTAGAAATTAGCAAACCGGGCTCGGTGGCTCAGCCTGTAATCCCGCACCTTGGGAGGCCGAGGTGAGTGGATTGCCTGAGCCCACAGGTTCGAGACCCTCCTGGGCAACTTGGTGAGACCTCATGTCTACAATAAATCAAGAAATTAGCTGGGTGTGGTAGCACGCGCCTGTAGTTCCAGCTACTTGGAAGGCTGAGGCGGAAGGATCGCCGGAGCCCAGCAGGTCGAGGCTGCGGTGGCTGGGAGCGTACACTGCACTCCAGTCTGGGCGACAGAGTGAGACTCCAACTCAAAAAAAAAAAAAAAAAAAGAAATTAGCAAAGCACTGGGCATTAAGAAGTTCAACAGAGAGGAGATGCCAGAGGAATTGGAAGGGAACCAACAAGCACACCTCCCTCTCCTTCCCACCCCTCATGTTCCAAACAGCCCAGGGCACAGTGGAGTCAGGAGTCAGACAGACAGACACGCATTTTGGAAAAGCAGCATTGAAGAGTACAGCTTGCCCACTGGGTGTTTTCAACACCTCATTTCGGATTTATCTTGCTCTTTCCCCTCCCCCCAGAGCTGCTGGTCTCCCCTCACCCCTTCCCCCACCCCCTTCCTAACAGAGTCTGCCTTAGCAAACTTGGGGTCCAGAGGGGCAGAAAATGTGTCACCCTTAGGGACAGGCCCTCCAGAAGAGAAAAATCCTAAAGAGCATCTTCAGTCATCCAACTCCTTCTCCCAGCCCAGGAGCAAAGGTCAGATCAGCAGAAGGGTTGGGGGCAGACTTCCAGGAATGCGGTTCAAGAGTTTGCGAAATAAGCAGGCATTGCAACTCGACCTTCCCTTCTCTTTACACTGGGAAATGGCTTTGGGGGAGCTGGGCAGGAATGGACATGGGCGTGCACTTTGGCCACCCTCCTGTGCCAGTTCCCAGGTGGGGAAGAGCAGCCTGTGTCCCTGAGAGGAACAGGACTGTCCTTAAAACTGTCGCCACCCTTACTGACTCTCCCCC